AGAGCAATGTAAGAGAATCAAGCCGTGTGCATTAGCTGTCCACACGATAGGGGGCCATATGTTAGAGGTGTTTGGTGTATCTAACAGTATCGTAAAAGTGGGGGATGCGGAGATAAATTTTCCGTTCGTCGTAACCACAAGCTTATCGAGACCGATATTAGGAGCAGATTTCCTAAGAGAAGTAAAAGCGATAGTTGACTTAAGAAGCGGTAAGGTGGTCACGAAGTATGGTTCATTGACAATACACGAAAGTAGCGAAGTGGCTGAAATAAGAGTTGCAGCGGATGTCTCGTCAAAGAAACCAAACATTCACGAGTTATGCAAAAAGTATGCGAAACTATTCACTGGAGATGGGGAGCCGTATGGATTTTGTGACAGAGTAAAGCACGAAATACCGATAAAGAACAGTCGAGTAAATATATTTGCAACACGTCGTGTCCCGGTGCATTTAGAGGCCGAGGTAAATCGTCAGGTCCAGGAAATGTTAAAAGAAGGTATAATTGAGGAAGCGGACAGCCCATATAGCTCGCCGGTACTCTTGGTAAAGAAACCAAATGGAAAGTATAGATTTTGTGTCGACTTCAGAGAATTGAATAATATAACAGACCTGAAGCCTTGTGCAATGCCAACAGTGGTGGAAACATTAGATCGGCTACAGAATGCCACGGTGTTTACAGTGCTGGATTTACGGTCAGGTTATTGGCAACTGCCTATAAAAGAGAGTGATCGGAGCAAGACAGCGTTTACTGTACGTGATAAACAGTATCAATTTAAACGAATGCCGTTCGGGTTGGCGGGTGCACCGTTCACGTTCAGAAGATTAATGACACTACTGCTCAAGAATCTAGATAATGTCGAGGTATATGGCGACGACGTAGTTGTGTACAGTCAAACAGAAACAGATCACATCAAGCATGTGGAAGCGGTCTTAAAGCGAATTGACGAATTTGGACTTCGCATTAATAAGGACAAGTCGCAGATAGCGAAAAGTAGCGTCACATTGTTGGGACATAAAGTGGGAAATGGAGAAATAAAACCATTGCCGGAGAAAATTCTTACCATAAAAAATATTGCAGTACCTAATTCGAAAAGGAAGTTGAGACAGTTCCTGGGAAGAGCGGCGTTCTACAGTCGGTTTGTCAAAAATTTCAACGAAATAGCAGCACCCTTATATAAGTTATTGAGCAGCACCAAGTTTACGTGGACTGAGACTGCCGAACAAACGTTCAACCGAATCAAAAACATGCTAGACGATCGCCAGATGACGCTTAGACTGCCTGAACCGGGAAGACTGTTTACAGTGGCCACATACGCGAGTGATCATGGTATAGGTGCTGTGTTGAGTCAGGCTGATAGAGTGGTGGAATACGCGAGTCGCGTCCTCACACCTGCTGAACAGAAGTATTCAACCATCGAAAAGGAGTGTTTAGCGATCGTGTGGGCAGTGGAAAAATGGAGACCATACCTTTTAGGTAGACGATTTCACATTGAGACGGACCATAAACCCCTGCAGTGGTTGAAAACAGCAAGAGACCCCCGAGGGAAGTTGGCGCGATGGATGATACGCCTGCAAGAATACGATTTCAGTATCGGCCATGTTCCAGGAAAAGAAAACGTAATGGCAGATTACTTGTCAAGACCAGACATGAAAGCCGACCTGCCATTAACAGCATACGCGGTGAATAGTTTAGAGGGAGACCCATTAGAACTCGTCCGGCAGCAGAAAGCTGACCCTAACCTTCGAGAGGTAATCAGAGTGATAAAGAGGGAGCAGACGTGGATAAACGAACAATGGACAAGGAGGTAATAACGCTGCTTCGGCAAAAGGACCGACTGAGAGTGAACTCATATGGAGTGCTGACCTGGCAGGACGATGATGAGAATTGGGTGGCGGTGATCCCGAAAGACCGGCGGCGTAAAGTGATACACGAGTGTCACCAGGTAGCACATACAGGCATCGCAAGAACGACGGACTTACTACGACAAAGTGCATACTGGCCGAGCATGAGAGAAGATGTGGCTGAATACGTGTTAACCTGCCAGCAGTGTCAGCTAATGAAAAGCGATCGATACACACAACCGCCATTACAGTCAATCCCAGTAACCGCAGTCGGTGATCTATGGTCGGTGGATGTGATGGGACCGTTTCCACAGACGGCGAGCGGTAACCAGTACCTGTTAGTGATGACGGAACATGCTACACGTTGGGTAGATGCCGTACCCATTGCAGACCAGCGGGCAAGGACAGTGACCGAGGTGGTAATCCGGCATATTGTAGCGTGTCACGGAATACCGAAGATGATATTAACTGACCAGGGTCCCTGTTTTGAAAGTGACGAGTTTAAAGCCCGTTTAAAGCAGTTTGGCATCAAGAGAATACGAACTACACCGTATCATCCTCAGACAAACGGGCTTACAGAGAGAAACAATCGGACGTTAAAGGAATGGTTAGCATCAAAAGGAGGAAATTGGGAGAAAGAGTTACCATTGATTTTACTGGCACATCGTTCCTCCACACAAGGAACAACCAAGAAGTCACCTTTTTTGCTCATGTATGGCAGACAACCACGACTTCCAATGCATAATAAGACCTGGCCACAACAACAGAAGTGGACGACAACAAGGTTAAGAAAAGAGAGGAGAGAGGCAATAAGGAACGTGGAAAAGAAACAAATATCAGACACAAAGAAGGCAGAACAACAGAGGAGAACGTGGAAACCCTTTGCAGTGGGGGACCTAGTAAAGTGTAGAGAACGAAAAAGTAACATAGCAGGGGGAGCAGGGTCGGGGAAGCTGGCTCCAAAATGGGAAGGACCGTATGTAATCACGGAGAGACGCGGCTCGGTCTACACGATCCGGAGAGAAGACAAGCAGAAGCGCGTAAATGCTAGTCAACTACAGAGATGGTTTCAAGATCATCATGGGTGTGAATCACGAAAAGCACCAAAGAACACAGCGGTACGGAGATCAGAAAGACTACGACAGCAACTTGTTAAAAGGGGGGACGAGTGTGGTGCGTGCTACTTATATTGATATAAGTAGTATATAACGTGAGTCAAAAGAACGTAATGGCTGGCAGCAGAAGATGGAGAAGATCAAGAAAGAAGAGCGAGAAAACAATGGAATTTGTAAGAAATCGCATGAGCAATGAAATGCGAGACAATGGATTGATGTTTGCAACAGCAACAGCCCGGTTTGATATGATAGAATGATATTTTGCAAATTAACGATTTACTATATGGTTTTCCTATTTTACCAAGTAATTCTGTAATTTGTCCTAAATACAATTTGGCTGTCCTCACCCGTGTTCTTCGTCACTACACTAGGATTATGAAAGCCATATCACATGAAATTGCTGAACCATTAGCGATACTATTCGACATGTCTCTGAGACAGTACAGACTTCCTAGAGACTGGAAAGACGCCATAATAAGTCCAGTGTATAAGGCTGGGAGTTGGGATTTAGTTAGTAACTATAGGCTCGTTAGCTTAACTGGTGCAGTTGTGAAGCTGATGGAGAAAATCATTCGGATATCTGTTATAAACTACGTTGAAGGGCATAATCTTTTCTCCAAGGAACAACATGATTTTCGGAGAGGCCTATCATGCTTGACAAATCTTCTCATTGCAAGAGAAAGTTGGGCTGCTGCAAAAGATCAGAATATTCCTGTGGATGTAATTTTCATAGATCTAAGTAAAGCCTTTGATAAGGTTTCCCACTCTGGTCTTAAATTCAAATTGAAACGTTTTGGAATCCATTACACAGTCGTCGATTGGATAAGTAACTTTCTCCATGACAGGAGACAAAGGGTAAGGGTTAATGGGGCTCTCTCCTCGTGGGTACCTGTTAAAAGTGGGGTTCCCCAAGGCACAATCCTAGGTCCTCTTCTCTTTTTACTTTATGTAAATGAATTGCCAACTGTAGCAAAATCATCCGTTCTACTCTTCGCTGATGACATAAAGATTTGGAGACCCATACATAGTATGTCGGATAGAATAGTATTGCAGGACGATCTTAGCTGATTGGTGGCATGGTTAGACAGGTGGTCACTAGAAGTAAATCCTAATAAGATTGTAGTGATGCAGTTAAATAACTCTGATGAATCGTATGACTATACACTACGTGGATTCGTGCTACCCAAAGCAAGAAACTATAAAGACTTAGGAGTTATATTAAGCAATGATCTCAAAACGACTAGTCACTGTAAGGTTGCTGCTGCAAAAGGCTATAGGGTATTATGGTCAATTCGTAGGTCTTATCAGTATTTAGATGATGAAATGTTTGAATTACTATACCCGATTTATGTGCGACCACATTTAGAATACGGGATTCAAACAGCGAGTCCTTGTTTCAAATATGAGGCAGATATGCTAGAAAGAGTCCAACGACGAGCTACTAAGATGGTACAGGGTCTATCTGGCCTATCTTATGAAGACAGACTGAGACACCTTAACTTATTTCCGTTATCTTACCGTAGAGTACGGGGTGATCTAATATTGGCTTATCGTATACTAAACGATGACCTTGGTATTAACATGTCTTATCTTTTGCTTCCGTCTAGAACCGATCATTTGAGAGGAGATTCGAAGAAAGTTCAAAAACCGAGATCAAACCGTTTACGTCTGGAGTTCCGTTTCTCGCACCGAGTAGTGAATTACTGGAATTCCCTACCGGAACACGTAATATCAGCACCGTCTGTTAATATATTCAAAACGAGATTGGACCTCCACAGTATTACAAACTGCAAGGATTAATATAGGTCGACAGACCTCCTATCCTTATTACTGAAGACTGAAGACTGAGCGATACTAGCTAGCCTATGATCCTGCCGTTGGATTTATTAACACAGATATCCATTGATAGCAGAAAACATAGTAATTGGGATTCTTCCCCCTCCACGTACAGTCATCTAAACGTACATTGAGTGTCTACGATGCATGGACGTGTTTGTATTAATCACAAAGGTTGTATGTTGTACTCTGCTGAGGGCGCTTGATTTATGCTGCTTTCTGTAGTAAAGGGAAAGTTAGAAAGAGTGCTTGATAAAAATCCACAAGATCTTGTTCGCGGAATTAGGAAGCACGGTGTGGATGAGGTACTTCTGTGCAATATTTTCATGTAACTCTGAACCAGGCCAAATATATAGGTCAATGTCTAGATGAAATTAAAAATGAGTTGAAAGACAGTTCATTTTCAGTCAAGGCCAATGCTATTAGCAAATTATTATACGTGAGTTGATAAAATTCCCTTTTAAAAGCCTAGATTCAAATGCTTGGTTATGATACCAGTTGGGCTGTGTTCAATATCGTTGAGGTTATGAGTTCTCAGAAATTCACCTTCAAACGTATAGGGTATTTAGCAGCTTCTCAGAGCTTTCATTCTGGTACAGATGTCCTCATGCTTGCCACCAATCTTATTCGCAAGGTAACAATTATATACAGGATTAAATGGAATAGGATTTAATGAGCTGTAACTTGTATGATGCTGGAATCGCCTTATCAGGTGTTGCATGTTTCATTAATCCAGATCTTGCCACGGATTTGTACTCTGACATTCTAAGTCTGGTAAGTTCCAATATCCGCACAATTTACTCCCTAGTGGTATAGTGACTACTTGGGTGACAATTATTCCCCTCAGGTTATGGTATCGAACGTATTTCCACCCTATTAAATGGCAATACTAAGTAATAAAAATATTGTGTAGATACCTGCCTAGTATTTGTTTTCGGAGGTTCTTTATGATTGGCTTTTCCCAAGTCAAAGTACAAATTAATTTAAGAAATCCCTCACCTTTTACTTGAGTCGTCATTGGCTATAAATGTATTTTCCAATCAGTTTTCACAAATGACCACCACTATCGCCTTTAAAAATTATACCTTGCTTTGATCGCCTCAATATCATTACATGTACATCTGCCTCAGTGATGGGGCTCTATCAGTAACATTGATTTTTATGGACTGGTTCGGAAGTCTGTCATTAAGACCCATCTCCTGTGTTTGTTAAGCTAGTTAGTTTGGATTTGATAGATTCTTACCAGTATTAACTCATATAGCATAGACATCCTTTGGCCCTTGGTTTATAGTAAGCAATGTCTAAACGAAGAATTGTGTTGGGTTTTTTTCGCCTTAGTGAAACCTTAATAACATTTCAAGTTTCTTAAAAAACTCCCAACTGTGCTAGGGCATTTGCTGTTCAAACCCTGAGCCTAGGTATCATGAAATAAACCATAGGAATTGTACACACGAAGTTTAAATACACTTTGGCTGGGGTTGAGAGACAAAGTGTATTTGGATATGCAGGTATTCCTTAAGAGTATTTAGTCAGTTTAAATCAAATATGCGCAACTCTAACCAACTTTTAAAAAATATTGTCTTCGTAGTGTCAGTTTTTAACCACAATGGCAATACTAATATGCGCTTAACTATACGAACTAGCTACTCACTGACCATTCGTAATCAAATGTTACTACAATTTGCTATACTGTTAGTGCGATGTGATTAGATTAACAATGTAAAGCGTAAATAATTCGAAATAATATCGTAGCAATGATAGTGAGAGTCTAAACATTGAGGATATGGTATGAAAGGACATGTATGAAGTAATACTGAAGCTCAAGATCTAAAAAAAGACAAACAGTAAATGGATTTGTGTCATTGCGATCGATGCTTAGCCATGTCACTCAATGCCTTCATCCCTCGATCGTGGTTATTGCACCGACTGATCGTCTAATTGCAGTTCATTGGTTTCAAACTTAGAATAAGCTTCAAGCAGAAGTCCTATTTCTGAAATATTACGTTTTACTCTTAACTTATGAAACACCAGAAATATGTTCTTACTCAGTAAGGCTGTGTATTATAGGTCTCATTGCTCCCAAAATTTGTATTTATTTCCTACGTAGATAGATCACATGTTTAGATGACATGTAATAAATTTAATGATGACATGTAATAAATTTAAACATTGGCAAACGTGTCAATTTGACTTAGCAGTAACAGAACCAAAAGTGTAGTAACTATTTTCCAGTTGATGTAACAAACAAGGTGACCATTTATTATTGTCCTAGCGTAGAACAGAAATGCAAATCTACCTTCTCTCTAATTAGGGCTGCCTCATATATTGTTCAGTTTCTATTCTGGGTTCAGTTCTTTGACGTTTCATCCAAAATTCTCTTGATCACGTTTTTTTTCGCGCTTTTTTTACATTTAAGATGAATTCTCCAAAACCATATTTACGAAAGAAAGCCGTATTATTATTATACAAAGTTTTCCTTAATTATCCTGAAGCACTTCGTATTTGTTTCCCACAGTTGAAAGATAAGCTGGACGATCCAGACCCAGGTAGGTTCCAATTTTTTTCGGGGCCGTGCCATGCAGTCGTCCACTCCTATCTTTAGTATCGTTAAATTTCACCGAAATGCTAGATAACAAATATATAGCGAGACCGTGTTAATATAGGCGAAATAACTGTATGTGAATAAATTTTACGCTTTTAACAACAATCATATAAGAACATGGTATAGAAAAGTCAAAAACCATATCTCAAACAATTTTGTATAGGGCTTTATTCTAAATGTCTGTTGAAAATTTATTACTGAAGTAAAATAAACTATACCAACGACAAATACTATACATTTTTGGAGATGTTACTGATCAGTGTCAAATTAGTAACTGTACTTTTTATATAATAAACTCTAGACGAATATAGTGAAGGTTCGTAAATATTCATGTACTCTATTTACCATAAAAACATGATTAGTCTCAAAAACTGACTTTCATTTATTTCCTGTGTAACTTCATTTTTGAAATTTTAATTAGTTTTACTATCACAATGGTTAGTGGTTGAGACACATTTTTAGTTTTGCTTGTGCTTTCAAGTTGGAGCTCTGCTAATTCCTATAAAAAAGTAAATTGGCAGCGTTAGAAGACTTTATACGTTACTAGTGATTACATTTGTCAGAAAGCATGTATATCCTGTACTTAAATATTGCCATATTAAGTAGTGTGACTTCCTCACAGAGCAAAATTTGATCGACTTTCTGTAGTCAGCAGTTCTATGGCGAGGTTCTTCCTTACATTGTTTTTTAGTCGCCAATCTCACACTCAACTCTCTTTTATCCACAGAAGGGCTCCAGGAGTAATTAAGTAGTACATCTTAATGTTATAAATAAAATAATACCAGTAGATTCCGTTTACAACCCACTTATGATTCGCTATAATAGTATGAAACACTATTATGATCATCCGAGTTAATTGAACCATATTATTTCTGGTTAAAACACCAGTTCTTTAGTTCTAGATGCAAACATCATCACGTTCTGACAACGATTTAAGATTTAATTTGATTGAATTCAGTAATTCAAGTGTAGATTTGTTTATTCGAAGCTTTAAGTCATACTTTTGCTCGTGGAGGTTAATGATACTCCTTAACTGACTACACGAACTGAATTATATGGAGCAAGATTTGAACCTGAAATTAAATAGTGGAAAATTGTGAGTATTTTATTCTATTATGCTTTGTCTGTTTCAGGTGTACAATCAGCGGCTGTTAATGTAATATGTGAATTGGCACGTAAAAATCCAAAGAATTACCTATCACTTTCACCCATATTTTTTAAACTTATGACTACATCATCAAATAATTGGGTTCTTATCAAAATCATTAAATTGGTGAGCATATTTGTCGTAATACTTTCAAGTTTCTACTACCATTGTTTAAATGTATGATTTAACTCACTTAAGGTGTCTATAAATTGATGGAAACCTATTTCCCATCTGACGTTGTTACTCTGGTCTCAAACGATTCCTGTGCATATTCGCCAGCTAATAAAATCAACAACTCACCTAATGTCTATATATGTAACTAGGTCTCTAGACTATAAGAATTTAAATTCTCCAGACTATTTCTCCCAAATCATGGATCTGCGCTTTTTCTCATAGATACTTCGACAAAGTAGCTTTTTAGATTAGCCTTTTCACATTTCGTGTTGCATGTGTATGCTAACAGACACTCTTTCATTCCTACTAATAATACATTACGTTTACAGTTCAATTATTTATTCAACTAATTACGAATCTGTTTATAAAAATTTACATATTGTTTTGCTCTATGCGATGTGTTCGTGAATCACAGAACATTAATACAAGTGTTGATCTACTACTTTATATCACTTAGCTACAATCTGACTAGTTTAGCAGTTCGACAGCCGTAATTCAAATACTGCTGGGATATGTGGTCGTTTTTCCACTGATTATCGGAAATTATTACCATAACTTCTGTCATTACTATCGTTATGAATTATTAGGATGGCAGAATGAAAATCAGACCCAAATTTTGCATACTAAACTATTTGATAGATTGAGCAAAAAATGAATTGGTTTAGATCAATAACCAAGTTTGAGTTGATGTACTCAGGGCTTTGAGTTATGCTTTTTTATGAATTTGAGGACTAGTGATGCTCCATAGTTACCCAAGCAAGCAAACTAACTTCGAATAGATTGGTTCCTGCATGCCTTCTATCTTAGTAGTAACCAGCTTCGACATGAATCCGTGACCGACGGTGTTCAATCTAGAGCAGGATAAGTATCGCCTGTCACAGTAGGTGATTATCGTACACTGTCATAAGTAATAGAGAGTGCTGGTGGGCGGCCTATGCTCCTTCAGAAGGGATAACAGGCGTAAGCAACTACAGATAATTTGAAGCAAAAACTGCTTATTATTAGATCGTAAATCAAGCATCTTACCATAAGACGTGGAAAGTTTTAAGACCGATCTTGTTTGCTCATGGATGAACACTGTTCTGTGGTTTTCATTGGTTCTGTAGCTACTCTTTCCTTGAATATAACTTCAAATACTCTACCGTACAATTGAGTCGTAATTGACGTATTAGCAATAGTAAATACGTTTTTCACAGATGATGTGCCATTTCTTCTAAAACAAGATCATCTTTGTTTCATGTTTTTTTCTAATTGAATAAGTAGAGGGATTTTTAGGAAATCTGCCGTTATATATTTCACTGATCCTGTATTCCACTGATATGTTTCGGCTCACTTGAATATTTACAAAAAGTGGTATCACTTGTTTTGTTTAAAGGTATTTTTCTTTTTGAGTAAATTACTGTCATCCTTATTTCTTATATGCATACTTTCTATATTTTTTTATCAGTTTGGCACATTGACACCTTTGGAACCAAGACTAGGCAAAAAGCTAATCGGACCGTTGACCAATTTAATTCATAGGTAAGTAGACAGGTTAACATATGCTAAAAAATAGTGTTGGGGATGATATTTAAGTTTTCTTACTTGGTTAATCATTCTGAATTTCTTTGGTATCACGGAATGATATACATGGGTTTCATCTCAAACCTTAATATAATAATCTTAAAAAATGGGATATACTAATGAACAATTATTATAGTGTTCAGTTTTATTTAGCTTATAGAAGTAATGTATTTGTCAAGTTATATATCAATTCTAGAAATTCATTTCTTCCTAATAAAGGGAGAGAAGTGATGATCTAATGGTTAACGTTGTTTGGTTTCAAACCTTTAAGTCACAAGTTCGAACCGCTCAGTTTATTTATGTTTTAACTTCAAGGTAGTATCAGTATTCTTTTTGTAACCTAATTTTGCGAACCTCCACGTGTTGACAGATTTCTTTAATTAATTGAAAAACATTTAAATAGTATGCACAATGAGGATGTAACTTTTCTACTTTCAATACGTAAATTATGTTGTCTCAGTGTTGCCTGCAAACAACGTATAAAATGACTCGCAATTTGAAGTTTCAAGCCCTTGAAATGCCAGAATGAATGGTTATAAACTTTGGGTTACAAGAACTGAGATCACTCACTCTCTCTACTTCCCTTTAAATCATGAATAATATTGAACTTAACTGCTCCATGTCTTCTCATACGGTCGTCGTTTATTTTCATCCTTCTCTTTGTTTTTAGCCCCTTGAATCTTTTTTTATTAATATATCCAATAAATCAAATCAATGCAGCTTTCTTCTAGGCACTATATCATGTCTCTCTTTAGCTTAATTGTGTATAGCAATCATTGACATCCTGATCTAAATTTGGTTTTTTAAGCTTTATCTTACATGTTTGTATGTCGTTCATAATTTTTATTTCCAATAAATTAACCTGCATATACTCATGGAACAACTGTTTTACTTCCCTCCAATTTGACAAAAAACAATCATTTGTTGGTTAATTGCTTTAAGTTTACATAGCTTCTGATTGTTCATCTAGTTAATTATGAAATTTTAAATAGTTGAATTCATGATTCGATGCGCACTGCCGAGGGATCCCATATTAGGACGAAACGCCCGTCCAATGTTTCCAGGTTTCCAATGGTAGTCTAGCTGAAATCGAATCATGAATTCAGTTGTTGAAAATTACTACAATCTCCAAAAACCCCATTCTAATTATAAAATTAACATTATATCTAGTGTGATATGACCTAACTTGTGTCTTTAAAAATAATTTGTTTTACAGTACTTCAGCAATGTCATTGTTATATGAATGTATAAATACAGTTGTTGCAGGTATGTGTATTTTATTAATACATGTGATTAAATAATTTGATTAGTCATGTTTATTTCGTATTGTCTCATTTAACTATTAGAATTGTAGGAAAGCATAAGTAGTCTGGGGTAGTGTATTGCAGATCATGTTTTTGTTTTCACAAACTTTCGTATAAAACAACCAAGTTATCTCTCATGAACTTATCACTTTGCTGTTGTCGTCAACCGTAATCTCATATTACTGTTGATGTAGAAATTGACATGATACTAATCACTTGAGTTGCATATCTCTATCATTACACGAATTTTTATTTAGTGAATGGGTTATATAAATTAATCTAGTTGAAATGTTTTTTATCTAGTAAAAGGATGTTCCAATCATATTGGATGACTGTTCCATTGTATCACAAAACGATTGGAGTCAAAATTATACTACTTTACACTAACCTAGCGTTTCTAATAATTCAACAATCGTCTCCAGATCTGAATCGAACCGTGTAGGTTAGTGTGAATTATATGGTTGAGATCCGGGCGATCATCGTAACTATGAGTAAAGATGTGTCTCAGTATCATTCTCTGTGGTATAAGTTCATTCACTCTGTCTTCCTTTAGATCAAAGGTTTCTAAAATACTTCACAGAAACTTACTCCACTGATCCATATTTTTTAGTCATATCTTCTATGCCTAGTCTTTACTATTACCACTGGTATTGTTACTGTTCGTACTACTCTGGGATTTACTTAGGAGATTTCATCTTGTTGTGCTAATGGGGTATGGCAACTCGAATCAATACACATACGCACCATGTTCTACGTTGTATGTGACTGACTGTGAAACTTAAAGGTCCTAGATTTGACTCCTGATAGAGTTATTAGTGCGCAGTGATGATGATTTCTATACTAGAATGAAACAACTGCCAAGTATTCTGTTGTTTTCAGTCATGCCTTAACTGAAACCAATCTCTCGTAAATATAACTTATTAATCAATTAATGATTCTTAATACATCGATTCTTTCCATTTTTAATTTCTAGTATTAATATCAATATCTTCTGGAATTCCTAGTCATCAAGTTTCTATACAGGTAGGAAAATCTATTCAATAAATTTTAATAGAAGTATTACAGGTTACTAATTTACTTATCCATATCCACATTTATTTGAACAAATCAGTAAAGTTCAATTTGTTTGGTTTTCGGTCTTCACATTTAATCTTTTAGTTTTATTTTAAAATATCATGGGGATAGTTTGTTTCAACTATTATCTTCTTTTATAGTTATGCGTTCAAAAATTACGCATCCTAATTGAAGATTCAGATCAAAATTGTAAGTTCCAAAAAATATTAATAATAATTTATGGACTGTATTTTCATTTTTATCACGCACTCTATTCACCAACTAAATAATATATATGTACCTACTGTGTATACTCCCTGTCTATGACTCAATTTTGGGCCTAAATTATATGTAAATTACTTTGATTGTCATCCAAGTTCTTACGTGTGCCCGACCACTGCCTAGCTACCTCGATGGTAGTTGTTAGCTGGTGTAGGAACAGGCTAAGAGAAACTTATAGTCAACCAAGCTAAGACATGGCATCAACCCCATAGAGTCATTGACTATTGGATTGATCCATGTCGTTAATATAGACTACTAGGTCAGATTTCATATGATTGTAACGGCGAATGGTTGGAGACGTTGAGTAACATGGCTCAGAGTCGGTCGCATTAGATGCAGGTGTATTTATTCTTTGTCTTCCTTTAAATCTTGATTTTCAAGATTACTTTGTTATTCTTATTCCAGGGATTCAATTTTCTTGCACCACACTGTTTATGCACATTTTTTTCTAACTACACTGATACTGTCACTACTTCCACTACCCCGGAATATCGCTGTGCTAATACAATCTAACTATTTGGGTCGTTCCACATATTTGTCTGGTTCGATGTTGCTTATGTTTATCTGACTAATCCTAGTTCTATAGCCTTTTTCTCGAAAAAAACGTTTTAGTTTCATATTTTCAACCTCCTCATATTGTTTGTTTATTTCTTTTTTGCCGGACTGCTTTCTCTCAAGTAAAATATCTTGGACTATTAGCAATGCGTAAAATTCTGTTATATCATCCACAAAGTGTACAACCTCATAAAGATTTAATATTAGGTTGTCTGGATGATAAAGACGAATCGATTCGATTGCGTGCATTGGATTTACTACATGGTATGGTATCAAAAACTAATCTAATGGATATTGTTAAACATTTGATGATACATATTGGCAATTCGTCATCTGGTTTACATTATCGTAATGAATTATTAAGTAAAGTTGTGTATATATGTTCACAAGATAATTATCGTAATGTTACATCATTTGAATGGTGAGTTACAAAGCTATTGTTTTGTATTGCTGTGTATAGTGTTAGTAATTATTATCATTAAGATTATTATTACTTACCTAAAGCAAGAACAAAACGCGTAGCAGAATACTATGAGTTAAATTATTTCGCAGATTTTCTTCAGCTACTTTTCATCATAGAAACAGTAGTGTTAATTAGTTAAGAAACAAAACGATGTACATACCTTGTAGGACAGAGGAATCCGTGATATAAATGAATTCACACTATTTTACTGTGTTCTTTGTTCTTGCTTTAGTCAAATTTATCACTGATACCGTTACTACCCCTACTATGGGATTCGATCTGACAATTCCATCTCTCTGTGCCAATGGGGTGTGGTAACTTGGTCTGATGTACATATGTACCATGTTTTACGCTGCGTTTAACTAACAGAGTGGTGGAAAATTCCATGAAATCGTCATTATTATTGCACAAATTATTTGAAGCTTGAACAGATTAACTCAACGATATTGATAAATGTAGTTTCCTCTAGTATACTAGTTCGTTTAAGAGTCGCTGTAGTCGTGTATCCAAACTGATAGTTTGTTCAGTGAAATTTTCGATTTATTCTGATTTCTTAGTAAATTTCCTCGGTGCGTGGAAAAAAGTACTGTAAATCACCGGCACACTTAAGTCGAATTAATCTAAAATTTTATTTTCCCCGTCATTTCTTTACACTTTCGCATATATAGTCAATGTTGACTATCTTGTTTGCTAAATAACATAACTAGTCTCCTTAAATTGTGATTTTAAAACTTCCTATGCCTAGATTATGTATTTAGTCAGACAGCCAGACTCACCGATCAAAAAACTGATATCATATATCATGGATGTGTGATTTATTTTGAGTCACACGTAAATGATCCGTGCATAGTTCTTCACTTGACTTTAATCGGTGGTATGAATCTGCTCGATTCACTGTTTGAGTGTCGATAAATTCGATGTGCATTTCCTAAAGACATACAGTATTAATGGCCTACCTCCACTTCTTGGACATACATTTATAATGAAACTACATCTTGGTTTGAGCAGTCTTATTTGCGTGATATTGGACTCAGAAACATTTTAGTTGGATAACTCTATGATCAGTCCTTAAACAAAAATATGTGTATAGAAGAAATGGCTAAATACCTAATGCAAAGTGATACGAATTTTCAGTTACCTCTAACGCTGTATAATCACTGTTGTGAAGCAGCGGTAAAGGCCTTTAATAATCTAACAGTTATGAAAAAGTTAATAAATTTATTGGATACTTAAAATCTCCTAATGTGTTTCTGAACATGACATGAAGTAAAAAACTGTTTGAACACAAAGTGATAAAGTATCTGCGCAACGATATGAAGTGGTTATTGATGTCTTACCAAATGAACTGTCTATCCGATTTCCCAGATACTTCTGATAACCCCAGACTGCATGGCAACTTGAACACAAAAGGTGCGAAGTGTGAGAAAAACGCTGTACTTCAAAGTTAATTTGTGTACAAAAGCGAGGGTATTTCTAGAATTATAGATGAGCTTTGGCTTCTGGAAATTTCTGGAACCATACTAAATATAGCAGCACCATAGATAAATATCAAATCATAAATGTGACACGTGACCCTACACCCTCTAGATGTTCCTGGGAAGCTTCTGTTCAATGCCAATTAGATAAAATGTTTTCCAACGTTTCCTGAGTCCTTATTGACGTTTCCAAGGAATACTTTGGAGTCCAAAAAAGTTATAGGTAGCTAAGATAAGAAAAATAAAAAAACAGTAATGTTAGATGAAAATAAACAGTTGCTTAGCTGTATCCAAATCTTGTTTGGTGTTTTCCTATCCACTTTACCTTAAGGTTGAAATATTAGCACTAATAGATAATCAATCACATATGATCTATGAGCACAGTTCTCGTGTGTTGTGAAATCATTTTGACATCTGGAGTAGAATTTTGCATAATGTAAATTAGTGGGAAAATTTATCTAGCAAGTCTGTCCACCACCGACACTAACGTACGTTATTGTCTGGTATAATAGTGGGGTGAGAAAGTTCTAAAGTAATGACTCAAGCAAAGCATGATACACTAAATCATGAAGTTATTCAGTGGTTGGTAAAATTGTTGAACCTTTTTTTTTATTCATTCTCAATACAAGTAAATTCCAATCCATAACTTATGGTTTTGTAAAATTTTAATGCTCTTTTAACTAGGTATGTTACTGTTCTTGTGGAATTAGCTAGCATTGATGGTATTCGAAATGGTGAATTATTAGCTGCTCAACTTATGGATGTTTCTATCCGCGTACCGACTGTTCGAACTTTCTGTGTTGAACAAATGGCTATATTACTGGATATTAGTCAGTCGTTAACAAGCGGAGGTAAACAAAATGCTATTCAAGAAACACTTCGTGCAGCAGCATGGATATGTGGCGAATATGCGGAGTAAGATTTGAAGTTAATTTCATGTATTCTGTATTGTTACAGATTTAATTATATCGACTTACTTTATATGTATTTTAATGCTGCATCATAGCAACAAATATTAATTAGGAATAATTGTATTCTTTAACACTAGCTTCTTTGGCTTGAACATCATGTGTTAAAAATGTCATCTCAGCCGCTTCTGTCTCGTGTATTATTTTCCGACACTGGAGGTAGGAGGAGAAAGCTAAGAACTGGTCAGTTTACGACACAACTTGGCGATATGCAAGAAAACGGTGTAAAATTGGTGTCTGTTTGTCCATCCTGACTCCCTGGTTGGGGCTTGATACATTATAAAGACGTAGCTCGGAATAGAAGTCACTGATGATTCTACTGTGGTTTCCTCTTAAATTCACTCTGTTAATTGAAAGAAATCACCCTTAGTCGTACTTTTAACTGAACTGTATTTTCCATTATGTACTATTCGTGTTTATGTACTTTGTTTTCGACTGCACTCCACCTTTCCTTTATTTCTTCACAACGTTATCTATTTGTGGTTCATATCATTTTTGGTGCTTAATGTAACTGGAAATCAAATACACAAACCTGGTAAATGAATTATTATTCTGCTACTTATTATTAAAAGGTAACATTAATTTCTGTGAATCGTTTATTGCCAGGTTTCTCATGCAAGAATCATATAATAACTATGAACCTTGTTCAGTGGTATAGTTAACAGTATTTATGTCATTATTCGAAATTTTAGCTTGTTTCCTATCGTTTCTTTTTATTGAACTTTCCATTTTTTTGTCGTAGACCGGTAGCTTACAATCATGTATGTATACAACCTTCCGAATATTTATTGATATATTTTAGTTTTATCAATCCGGGGTGGTTTTTAAACCTTCATATTTAAAAAGTATGGTCTTGGTCTATTTTCTGAGTTGTGTTTTCCTCATATTCACTTCCTTATTCGTTGACAGCAATATGTACGTTACTACATGGTATGCATTTCTTTTGACTGAACACTGATTCACGCTAGTTCTTCAATTTATATTGAAGATATTCAGTTTTACTATTCAATTATGGGCTTTTTCTGCCGCCTTGTTGAAGAAAACAACTATTTTAACATTCCAATCAAATACTACACACTTGAGATTTACCAAAGTGTAATATATTCATGTAGTTCAGCATTTCCTATAAATAATATATACATCGAAACACTGAATGACTGATTAACAAATACCATACGATTTCTTCAATATGGGAAATGAAATTATAATCAATCCAGTGCTTACTTCTTTTGACATTTTCCAAGTTAGCAGGAAAAATACCACGAAAAAAAACACTGGTTACTAATGAGTAAAACATGATTCAGAATTCTACAAATGTTACAAGCAAAAAACAATGAACGTTTGATCTGTTAGTGAATAGGTGTAAAGTCTCTTCTTGGAATTAATAGTCGGTTAAATCTTTTCTCTTGAATAAATTAGTAACGTATATGCAGCATTGTATTCGCCAATCATGTGATTATCAACCCAGTACTATGAAAGCTGAACTATCATAATTCATTCTTTTATCATCCAATGATGACATATTCTTATCTAATCTTGTGTAAGTCTATTAGGCTTCAGATAAGAAAGATTTCACACTTAGTTTGTCTACATGTAAATAGTGGCTGTTACCTATTCACATAGCAACTATTCATAAACAGCTTATCGATAGTGGCTTGTACCTCAAAATTATTATTAAATAAATATGACATAACTACCTTGGTAATTAATATTGTTATCCTAAGTATTATCGTTCTTTATACTGTAATCTTTCTCTGTCTCATTTTGTTATGTGTATTTTAGTAGTCTAAACAATCCAGAACAAACATTGAATTCACTTGTTTCAATTGCCCTTGAACTACCCGGTCTATCTAGTTCAATTCAAGCCGTTCTTATATTCAATGCTTTTAAAATATACAGTGTTGTCATTAAAAGTATGACTTGTAAAGCTATTCAAAGCTTACCTTCGACGTTTACAAATAAAAAGTATCAAGAAAACGGTGAACATTTAATTGATATGAGTGACAACGAACATCATAATAATACTGAAACTGTAGATGATCAAGTTACAAGTTTAAAGACTCTACAAAATTTAATTATTCATCTGATAAAGTTGACAAATTTTCTTATGGATAAATTTATCCAGTATGTTCATTCATCTGATTTAGAAGTTCAAGAACGTGTAAGTTATTTAATTCTATATACATATATTGCTAATAAATGAAAGAAAATTCATAACTTGGTATTAAAACTATCATATGTGCCTGGTCCTACGTTGTAGATGACTGACTGATTATACTATATGTCCATAGCCTCATATGATCGATTTAATTTCACTAACTAGCGTATTAAAATTCGTTCATAAGACTAATTTCAAAAAGTGTAAATACCTGGTTAGGTTAATCATATTTTTATTTGTTTTCAATCATACAGTACTATACAAACCCTTTTTTCATCAAATTCATTCCTCAATGTTAATTCTATCTTCTTCCTTGTTATTTTTCTCTTATTTCAAATAACTTTAAGGCTGTATCGATTCACCAAGTATTGAGTTTAGTGTCGAAGCGTTTTACAAAAATCCAATCCTTTTTATCCAGTTCATCAACTTTACAGCAAAATAATAATCCGTCAACATTAATTTTGGACAGTGATTTTTCTTCACCTTCACTATCCAATCATCAATCATTGGATAATTTACCTGATCAGTTTCATAATTCTCAACTCACCAGTTCTTCTATTAATATTACTAATGTCAATAACAATACAGGTGACAACAGGGTCGACACACAACTTCATTCACGAAGTAATTCAATTCAAATGGATACTATGCCTTCACTTACCTCCATAGTATCACCAACTGTGATTCTCAATTTAATTCAATCAATTATAAATGAACTAAGTGCTTTGTTCACCGGTGAAATCATCCCTGTAGCACCAAAAGCTCAGAAAAAAGTTCCTATTCCCGAAGGGTTAGATTTAGACGCTTGGATTAATCCACCAGTACCAGTTCGTAAACAACCGTGGACGAATGCACTAGATTTTATTGGGGTTAGTTACTCTCAATTGTTCATTTTAAAAGTTTTCGTTAGAATTATCATACAAAAGTATTTTCATTTGATTCATTTATGTTTAATATATCCTTGAACAGGCATTTCAGCTTAACTGTTAAGTATTTTTTCACTTTTGACAATCTTGTGTCCTCTCATTGTGATCTAACCCCAGCTACTTTGGCTTTATTCTTATATATCTATGTGGAGGATGCTGCAGTAATTACCGGAGCCGACGATTTTTGACTTTACTGTACAATACGTTTAATTTTCTTTCACTCCTAATTTACCCTATACACTTATCTAACCCTTTTCGTTCTCTTTTTAAAGAAATCTATAAATGACACTGATGATCATCGTTCTATTCATTGGAACAACGAATTGGTCAATAATGAATGTGATATATTCTTCGGTTTACAAGATAGTAAATCTCAAACTGTTCAACTAACAGCTGAACAGTTGGAGGAGGTAAATGATTATGGTTTATTTTTAAATTTTTTAGTTTTAAATTATTTCAAGGGATTATTTACAAAATAGCTGTTAATAAAGGTTTTGTAGTGTCTGTTTGACACCTGTTAGCTGAATGGATAAAGCTTTTGAGCTTAAAACGAAAGGTACCGACTTCGAGTCTCAAGATGGAACATCAATGTTAAAGTGCTAATGAGTCCAAAGTAGGAAAAACTGAGCGTTCTGGACTTTATTGCTAGCCATAAACCAAACATACCAAATGAAAAATGATATTTTAAAAATTTCTGTAAGATTGTCGACAGTCCGTTTTGTGACTCACTAGTCATTCAAATGGTAAAACTGCCCTCTTAGTGTTGCATGATTTTACTAATATGATTCGCACTGTATAACTGAATTCTGAAATCGGTATACTAAGTAATTAACAAACTAACCCATCTTATTACACTGGTAGTACAGCAACTACTGTTTGAAATTAGTACTCATTCCATATTACTTGTGTATAATATGATTACATTTAGTTAAGGATTGATATGATACGAAGCAAATTAATCAGTTCTGTATCCTATAATTGTATGTGTTTTGAATCAAATTAAATCTTGTTAGTTTCTTTTAATAATACTGTGCTTTTGTATATCACTTAACCAGCTATATTCTCTTTTGCTATCAACAGTTGATTTTAAAGATTACGTCAATAGTTTATATCTTGTGAGCAGTTGTTAGTTGACCACTTTACAGCATTGTACATCGGCTATCGACTGACTTTCTGTTTATCATTTTGATAGCCAAATCATGTTCATAACAAAGATAGATAGTGACAAGTAGTAGAGTCTGAGATGCACGTTTCATCCTGTTTGGGTTTCGTTAGCTGGATGTACCTACATCCTGGAGACTGATCAATTGCAGTCCTCATCATCAGTGGGAAGATTCAAATAACCAATGTAAATTAGTCATGATCATATCAGTTTTAAAACCATACTCTGCATCAGAATAACTTGTTTATTTGTATTCATTTAAAAGCATTTACAGATACACCACTATAATCCTGTTTTAGTCGGCTGATATTATTTTGAAATTAGTTCATTTAACTAGCGAACCGATATAAACTATTACAGCTTGGTTCAACCCTAATGACTAGACGACAAATTTGGGTTCCATCTATCTAAAGGGTTATAGTTATAGTACGAAATCCACAGATTATACGCAGAAAACTATCTATTTTTGTTTGGCTTGATTATTTATCTTAAATTGATTTTTAGTTAATATCCTATTGTTTTGGGAATGGATTGTGTTTGTCATATGTTTACTTTTAAAACATACAACAAAGTTGCTGTCACTAATTTGTGAAACCACCAACGCCTAGTGAACTTTCACCAACATAATGCATTAGTTTAGAACGTGTGCATAATATTTCAATCATGATGGTCTGTTGTCATCGTAAATATTCTCATCTTACAATGAAGGTAAAAGAATCTATTGTTAAGATGTTCAAATAATCTTCTATGGCCTTATTTAAATAATAACTAAGCGTGTGACATATACTCATAAGTAGTAGTTGTTAAAATAACAGTTTTTTTTCTAGTAATTGGGATTATTTGTACAACTGTCAATAAGATTAATTGTATTAAATTGCCCATTTTGTTTTATTGATAAATATCCATTCAGATGCGTTCAAAACGGTTGCAAAATCAACAAAACAATCCTAATTACTTAAAACCGGTAAATCCTAAAAAGAATAATTTAGAGAACTCCTTAAATGAACAACAAAATGATGTTAACTTAATCAAAAATGGTGTTGAACAGTTAAGTCTAAATGTAACTGATTCTAACAAACAATATTGTCAAACACAAAGTAATGGTAAGCAATTTATTCAATCTTTTAACTTTCCTTAATTTTTCACCCTATTATTGTCTAACTAAAGTTGGTAACCTGGTCAGTTAAGCTCTAAGCCCGTTATTTGAACAATAAAGTTATGGTGATTGTTTGTTCGAACACTCTCGGTCCATCTACTTAGGTTTGAGGAATTTCCAGTGAAGTATTTTCAACCTTATCATATAATTGCTATTACTAGTACATGAACCAAAAACTCAATACTGAACTGTTCTAAGTTTGTGTCAGATTAATATAAAGAAGTCTTAGTATAATATCGGCAAAATTACTACTCATTTTAATTGGTAGAGCATTGGTCAGAGTTTGGAGCATTCAAACAGTAGATTATGTGTCTAAACTTTTATCTACCTTGCTTTTGACAGTTGGCTAGTAAAGCTCTAGGCTCCTTATACTTAAACTGTACAGATCCGTACTTAATAAACTATTTAACTAACTACATTTTACTTCATCTATTTTATTAGCCTATGTACTATGCAAAGTCTTTTTAGTGTTAAGTATTTACTGGCTTATTACCAATTAATGTGTGTGCATATCCCCAGAGTTCATTCGTTACTTTGTATAACCTAGTAAATATGATACATATTTTTTAGCATATTGTAGTACCAAATATCTGTAATACATTTTCAACATTACTCAATCGCCTGAAGTAACATACTTAAAATTTATAAAAAAACTATTAGTCCTAATCCGAATTTTAGCGTTTTGCATTCCAAACATTGTTTTGTAGTACATATATCCATTATACTATATTGCGGGATATCACATAAATTCTTGTAAATCAACAAAATAAAATACGAATAAAAAGGAAGCGAAATATATATCGATGCTAATTGATTAAAAAATCTTGAAGTGGTATGTTGTAAACATTTGAAAATCAAATATTGAAAGGAAGGTGCGTAATAATCGGCTAGTGAAAAGTGGTAAGGTAAAATAATTGTCCACTTGATAACCAAATCAGTGTGCATGTATCAATTTACTTGCTCATGTGAAGCAGGTTATATTGGCCTCACAAAGCGAGTTCTTTCGAAACGCATCTCCAAACATTACCCTATTTGGCTCTTTAAAGGATTACAAAGTCATTCAGAAGCTCAATCTTGGGGCATCTAGTCGATTCCGGCCACTCTGCTTTACCTGAAGCCTTCTTTAGAATTATACTGTCAGAAAAGTTGGCTCAATAGGAATGCAAATGAAAAACTTATGTACAGCAGAGGCTATTGCTTTCCACGAGTTTAAGCCCAACCTTTGAGTACAAAAACATTATGTTCAGTTTCTTATTCTTTCATGGCCCTAACCTCCCTTTCTATCTTACATAATCTGTCGTCTTTATTTGTTTTTATTTACTTTGTCATGCCTACTCCTTTCCAATTGTTTTCACAACCATAAACTAACAACTATTACAACTTAACAATTCTCTTCTTGATAACTATCACTTGAACAATTTTTTACTAGACAATTATTACATAATTTCCTTTCAATATCTGATTTTAAATTCTTCACGACATACTACTTCAAGCTTTTTTAATTAATTAGCACCTTTCTATCTTACTACCTTGGGCAGCATCATTGATGAACATGGTAGATCTGATGCAGATGTGAAAGCGCGGATCGGTAAAGCAAGAGCAGTATATTTACAACTGAAGAACATCTGGAACTCAAAACAACTGTCAACCAACACTAAGGTCAGGATTTTCAATACAAATGTCAAGACAGTTCTACTGTATGGGGCGGAAACCTGGAGAACTACAAAAGCCATCATCCAGAAGATACAGGTGTTTATTAACAGTTGTCTACGCAAAATACTTCAGATCCGTTGGCCGGACACTATTAGCAACAACCAATTGTGGGAAAAAACAAACCAGATCCCAGTGGAAGAAGAAATCAGGAAGAAGCGCTGGAAGTGGATAGAACACACATTGAGGAAAGCACCCAACTGTGTCACAAGACAAGCCCTCACATGGGATCCTCAAGGCCAAAGGAAAAGAGGAAGACCAAAGAACACATTACACCGGGAAATGGAGATAGATATGAGAAAAATGAACAAGAATTGGATGGAACTAGAAAAGATGGCCCAGGACAGAGTGGGTTGGAGAATGCTGGTTGGCGGCCTATGCTCCATTAGGAGTAACAGGCGTAAGTAAGTATCTTACTGCAGAACACTTTTAGAAAACAAAATTAACTATAAATACGACTGTACAGTTTAAGTAAATGAAATCGTCGACGAGAAAATTTTCGTCTCTGAATCGCCTTTTTTCAGTGACTTTCTTTATATCTCGATGCTATGAATGACTAGATTTAAGTAATTGTATCATCTAAGGCTGCTGGTCATTAGTATCTACTTTGTGTAGCAACTCAGTGCTTTTTTCTGTGTAACTACTGCATGAACTTGTATGCTCCTGATTTGTTTGTTTTCACTTATTTATCATTGTTTGTGAATTCCTTTTTTTAAATATTTAAATATAGCGCGTAAATTGGCTACATCCGATCAGTTCGCTGCTGAAATGCGTAAAAAGTTTCAAACTGCTGCGTCTGATGTAGAACGAAAATTAAGGTCAGTTCGCCGTTTTCTGTTTGTTTACTTTTCTAATCTTTTTCTTTAATAATCACAGACATTTGTTCATATAGTCATTTTATGTTAAATAATCCAAATGACACGATGTTCGTCTAATAACCGAAAAGTGAGAGTAATATGTACCAGTACACTTGGTTTTAGCTTATCACTGTGAAACGTGGCCTTTGAAAATAGTATTCGAATATCGGTGTCTTCCAAGTATTCCTCACGTGTGCTAAGGCTTATGAGTGGCCAGTTTTTGGATTAGACTCAGGGTACTAGCCAAAAACGTCATTGACTTTTGATCTAAACCATGTTGACAAGTGTATATTACATAGTTGTAGTTCTCTCAGTCATCATAACCAATGACTGGAGACGTCGGTGACATTTATTTAAATCAGCCGCAGTGGGGCAGATGTGTTCACCTGTTGTCTCCTAATTTTTGAGTTATCAGCACTGATCGAACTCTAACTAAGTTACAGTGCATCTACTAATCTAAATGACTCGACACTGTGATTCACTTCCTTCCATACTAGCTATCTGGTGATAATCAACATGAAACATTGAATTTGATCTAGAATTTAAAAAGGTAGAAAGTTAGCATATTATATATTCAACATGATTTGAGTATATTAAGCATATATTGCACGTCTGTTTAATTTATAGTTACTGTTAAACTAGCAAACTTAGTGCATCTTCTCTTAGACAATTCATTTTTCAGTTTTGCATATCAGCAGTTTCCTGGTATGATATTTCTTCTCTTTGATACTAGGCTATTTACCTCACTCCATCTATTTCTGTTTGAATAGTTGGTTGGTGTCATTAAATTTCGGATAAAAAGGTGTATATAATTCTGTTTTTAGTAAATGGATACTTCGTCAAAGTCATTGATATTAGTCCGTGAACAATCAGCTTTAGATTTATTCAAAACAAATTAGCAGTCATATAAAAAAGTTTAAAGTCGTTGCTAATGCTAATTTCTAAGATGATTTAAAATCTTAGCATGTGAAATTGCTGTATGGTATTCAGTCAATCAGTCATTATCAACGTAGAGCCTGAGACAAATGTATAATAGCCCAAATTGTCATATCACGTTAACGTAACGAGATGAAATGAATAAGATGAATAATTATAATGGTAATCATAACGAAAACGTTCAAACATCCGGGATTCTGTTTGAAACGAAGAAATGGAAAGGTATATGTTGAGGAATACTCGAGTTCAAGATTTAAATAGATATAGAGTGAGTGCTTCTGTCCCACTAACCGATTCTGAGTCATGTCATCCAAAGCTTCCAAGCACTGGTTGAACGCATCCCCTAGGCTCTAATCAGATAATCTGTATCTACTAACATGGTTCAGACTAACAGTTAATGGCTTACTGGACTTACCCCATGTTTTGGACTACCCCCTTCCACGCTAGCATTCTCTTACATACATCAAGTTAGTTGGACATACGTGTTACATATCCTAACCACCTTATGCACCATTCCCATAGAGGTATCGATAACAATTTGGAAGTCAGATTTTGTCGAGTTCTCGGAATTCTCGTAAATCAATGTCTTACATTATAACCTGTTACCAACCCGTTTCCATCTGGATTTCAAAATAGTCTTCACCAAAGGGTTGTAGTACAATAAATAATCGATAATCAACATTCTTCAACAGATTAGTTGGTTACTATAGCAAATGAAATATGATCATTAAGTAATAACCCACAGTCATACAAACCATATTACTGTCTTTTATAAAGTTCCGTTGTTCGTCATTCATATTGCTTTTGTATATTTGAGAGTATGGAAACTAAAGTTTAAAACTGTAGACTTTTAAAAGTCGTATTTCTTGGCTCTGATGAACCTTAGCATTTGTATTTCAAAAAGTAATTATATTTCAATATCAAGTTGCCTGGTCAGATCCCTCAAATTCACTTAATTCAATTCAGACATTAGCGGTATCAGTATATCATTAACCCGGTATATATATATATATATATATATATATATATATATATATGGCTATTTCTATTATCTTGTAAAGGTTTCTGTTCTGTTATAACTTCTCTTATCACTTAGATCAACAACGAAGAGCAATCATTCGAAAAACATCCATAAGAAAAAACATCCGATCATATCACCACCACCATCTTCATTAACAATTAATAATAATTCTAAATCGACTAATCAGGTTGAAAATACTCAGGAAGAAAATAAAATAGATTATATTATAAAAGACAAATTTACTTCACACGTTGTTCGTTGTGATTATGATATGCCCGAGGTAAATTCTGTTTGTAAATATTAGTTTATGTACTTGTTTTTTTTTTCTTTTTTATGAACTTATGATCGATCAGTTCATAGTTTCCATCACGGACTGATCTTAGTTAGCAACTATTGAAAATTACTATTCACTAGACAGCTATTTCGTCATAATATGGGCAGCTCTGACCAGTTCATATCCGAAACCACATCGGTGACCGAATCCAGGACATTCAAGTCTCGTGGCGAGCACTTAACCTTTAGAACACTGATCCCATACCCGATGGTTTATATGTTTAATATCTACAATTCACAATATTGCTTGACCATCTTTCATTGCCAAAGATGGGTAACTGCCTCACACTCAGAATGGTTGAACCCAACAAATCATTGCTCCTTACTAAAACTTCGGAACTTATCTCTTTAGAAGTTCATTCGCACTGGGTATGTAAAAGTTATCTACTAATACCTCTAAAGCACTCAAGATTAATGACATCGGCAGATTTAGTTGTGCAAAATCTTCAATCGATTTTTTTTCTTAAATCCTCATTGTTTTGTGTGGCGCATATATATTTGGCGCACTCCTGTACCAATATATATGTGTTCAAATAATAGTAATAATAATAATCGCTCGCCGCGAGACCTGAAGGTCCTGGGTCTAGTCGCCCTTGAGATTTTTGGAAACGAACTGTTAGAATTGCCTATATCAGGATAAAACGGTTGTCAAATGCCTTATAGTCTTGAACAGTTGTCTAAATAAGATCAGTCTATAATGTAAACCATGAAAATCAATAATCTCCACAAGCATCCTATAGTAATTTGTTATTATTATTAGCATTCAGTCTGACAATCATACGTATCTTGACTTTGTGTTATTTTTCTAGCTTCGACTAGTTGTGAAGTGTTTGATCTTTTTATAGGATAACATTTTTTACATAATTACAATCTAAATTATATTCATTCATAACCTCATTTTTCTTAATTCATATTTATGCTACCTGTGTAGACTACACATCATATAGTCAGAGCTCACCAATGCTTTTTATTTTTCTATACAAAGTGTATGTATATCCCATCAACAGATATGATCTATATTCAACGGCAAATGTCTTGTAGTACTTGGGTTCTATGAATTAACATTCAGATGAGTTGTTGAGATGACGTTTCTACATGTTTCATTACACATGGATATGCATGAATTCTAGTAAATTGCCTTCATTATGTTTCATTTATTCCTTGATAAACAAGTTGAAATCACAGTGGTAATGAATGAAATGGCAAAAAATGTCCCATTGTCGTAGTTGCATCCGTTATTTCATAGTTATCACTTGTTTTATTTGAACCGTGTTTCCTACGCTAAGCTATGCATTACTATTCTCTTCTTGCACTTTTTTATTTTAATCATCTCATCCCTTGTTGTTTTGGTGTAAGATGTAGCCAATTAAACCGACACACCTTCGTCCCAGGTCCTATGTTGTCTATCTTTGCAAATAGTCATTTCTGTAATATCCATTTTTATTTATTTATTCAATTCACATAATATCTGATACTGCTGAGAACCAAACATTTTGTGCTCCACATGAGGTAAAATTTGCATGCGAGCTAGGATACTGTCAGCACTCCTAAACCGAAGTTGGTCGATTTTCCTCATGTGCCATTCCCCAAGTCTTTGACCCAACGATCTAATCCACAAGTCAGTCAATAAACGTCGATAGCTTCCATCCCTTGGTAGTCGTTAACCATAAGTAGATTCATACTTCGTTCATTCTTTTAGGATCCTGGAGCCCATTTACATTATTGGTTCGAAATCAGGGTTTTCCAACTTCTCTACACAGACACTCTATATACCTCCCTAATCCAGTTTAAACAACAAACATCCGCTTTTTGTCCTTTCACTTTCGTAAAATACACCCTCTCTGTGTGAAGGCTTTAAGTATTACTTCTATAGCGAAGCCTATAAATGCATGACCGTATTAGAGGGTTTCGAGAGAAAAAAGAAACTCTCCTCACCCTTGGCTATACCAAAGCATTTGAAGAGGGGCCTGTTGTATAAACTTTTCATTCATGTACATACATAGTAAATGTATGCCTTATTGATAACCCTACCTGTAATATACAATACATTTTGAAAGAAATTGGGTCATTCTTCATTCCTTTTCGTTTATTACCGTCATTATTCAGGGAGTGTCAATAGATAATGAATCGCTAAGTGATACTGAAAACGCTAATGATCCACATCATCGACTAAATATTGTATTGGATAATATTATTACACAAGATAACAATAAATTGCCACATTCTACTCCATCTCAACATAGTAAACATTCGACAATTCACAAGACTTCACCAAAGAAGTCTTCAAAATTATCGTCTAAAGTAAGTGTTCAACTGAAATTATCCTTTTCTGTAAATAAATAAATATTACTCTTTCATCATAAAAGAGACACATTGTTATTCCATTGAAGAAGAATAACGATACGGTATGTAGTTACAGATGTCTACTTTCATTTTGTCCAAAACTTTAAAAAAGTTCGTGACAAAAGGTGTCTAACGTTAAATGTTTCCTTAGTTAATATTGGACTTTGGTTTCATACTAGTTACTGCCCTTCAGCAAGATTTAGTCGCAATCTCAGGGAACTAATGCTCATTGGTGAATCGGATTCCGTGTCACTCACAGTCTCAAATCTTTCTACATGGTTATTCAAGACGCTAATGACCTCCTGTAGCACTGAGATATTTACAATTAACTAATTCTTGAGTAGTAACCACTGTCATATTTGTTTAGCCATTTTAGTGTCCATGGGATTCTGTTGATCGACTCAACTAATTTCATTCAGTCTGTCGTAATTTCTATATTCTTATTGTATAATAAAGTATGAAAACAAATAGCAACCACAATTTATTACCGACATATTTACTTATTATTTATTTGAACACATAGATATTGGTACAAGACGGCACCAAACACATATGTGCCACACAAATCCCATTCGATTTGTGTGAGGGTTATGATACTGCTCGGGTGCCCAAACCGAAGCAGGTGGTTTTCTTAGGGGGCCACACCCGGAGCCTTCGACCTAAAGGTCTGATCCACAAGGCAGTGGAACAATGTAAAGAGATGCAGTCCCATGGTAGCCGGTGACCAACGATTGGTTCATACGCCATTTGTTCCCTCAAGATCCTAGAGCCCATGTGCACTATTGGTTTGGAATCAGACTTTTCCAACTTTCCTAGCTGGACTCTCCGTGTGTACCAATCCGGTTAAGGCTCCGGACATTCACTTTTCGTCCTCTCAATTTCGTAAACAACAGTAATGCCACGAGAAGGCAGTGAGTAGGACATCCCTGGCAAAGGCTATATACGCGTGGTCATGTGAGAGTATTTCAAGAGGGCGAACGGACTGGGATATTAAATTTTATTTGATATATCCTCGAAAGGTTACTTATTTACTAAACCAATTTTTGTTTTGTGTTTTGTTCACATGTAAGCACCATAAAATGAATAAAGAAATGGTGAATAATAATCATCAACTAGTCAATGAATCAAGATCTTCCGAATATATTAATTATGAGAATTTATTGAATAACAATGATAATAATACAACTTATCATCGATCAGGCTATGAAGCATTCGACTCAGATATAAAACAAACTGAAATATTATCATCACAAAAAGTCCGTTTGAAATCATCATTAAATTCTCATCATCATCATCATCATCATAGTGATAATGATAATAATAGTAAAGACAAACAAGTATGTTATTTTCTTTTTTTTCTATTACCTTGAAAACATGAATACTTAATTAAATAAATGTCACGAAATAGTGTAATTTTACTGTAAATGTCTATTTATCATTTGATTCTGTAGAGAATAAATTATGCTTACCGTACTAATGATAGTTATACTGTCAAGTGAAAGTAAACTGTGACCGACCCAATAACGAAGATAGATACATCCCGGCTACACGAAATGTAAAAGACCATCTCATATGTAAACTTGACTGCTTCTTATTGTATGATAATACTCTTTAGTCCTAGTCTTCATTTGAACTCTTGCTTGGCTTTCGGTAAAAGCGTATCACTTGAAAGGGTGTCTATTGATTCAATCTTCAACCAAGTGTTTAGTCTCATCGATTTAAGTATCTAGTATCCAGTATAAAATTATATCAAGTACCAGGACCTTGTTTTGCTATCATACCAAGTTTTTTTTATAAAAAATCTTAGTTATAAGGTGATCATAAGTTTGTTGTAATTATCGAATCAGAAGTCAGTTTTCATTACTGAATGCGAACTCCAGTTGGAGAAAACCAAGAACTGCTCTATAGTGGTTTCCTCTTCTCAATACACAGACATTCCAATATAAGACCTAGGAATTATAGGTTTGATAGCTTAAGTGTTCAAGGTTTCACACTGCTAAGGACTCTCATTTTAAGGCGAATCAACTGTTCGTCATTCCTAGTGTCTGTAAGTTTTCATCTAGTTATCATTTCGTAGTTTGTTAATTAACTTCAAGTAATAAATAACTTAATTAGTTGATTGTCTATTTCTTTGAATGTTGTTTCATGTTCTTGTAACATCTTGTCAAGTTTAGTAGTTCTACGATTACTTAATCTAACTACATATTCACGCAAAAAAAGTCTAATTGACTCTATTATGTAGCCTGCAGTCTTTTCATCCTACGTCACAATAACCACATATATTATCGTTTATTGTATCTTTGGATTATCCATTGATTGATTGTAATCATTCTGAACAGATATTAAGTTGAATGTCGTTAGAATTTAAGCTAAATTAGAGAACCAATATGGTATGATCTACTATCTAATTTAATTACTCAGACGCCATTTTAGCCACTGACGATCAGGTCAACCATAATGGTTAAGATAGACTAACTTTATTTAGATTCACATTTGCTTTATAGGTGGTATATGCAGCGTATGTGCGTATTTACAGGTGCCCATAACATCTCCAGATACTAAACATGTGGATGATAGCCATCTGGTTGAGGTAAATATATTGAGTTACTCATTTCTAGCTTATCGACTATTGCATCTGGCTTGTCGTACATTATGTTTTACCTAGTCTCCTTATCCCTTGATTGCTAGGTGTATCTCGATGTAATCTTTAATGCTATTTGTAATATAACTTGTTACGGTTTGTTCTTTGTCTTTCATTTTTATTTCAGTTCCCTGATAATTCACCAATACCATCCGTTCCATATGGTAATAAATCCATTATTAGTAGTAACAATGATAATATATCTATACCTGAAACTAAGTTCTGTATATCATCAGCAGTAATAAATAATGACATATTCACTTCCCTTTTGTCAACCGGTGAATTGAATTCATTTCAATCAGCAAAAATTTGTTGTCCTAGTTTATTGTCAGTTATTCGTCAATCAGAAAAGTCCAATTCTCTAATAATGCATACAAATAAAATTTTTGCACAAATAATATCTGTACTTGAAAAGAAGATACCATGTTTAGGTAAGTGAGTTAATTGTCTAAAGGAAAGGATCTGTTATGTGTATGTATTCACCGTTGTGTTGATGGATATGGAAGATGTTTTTAAACAATATGAAATGTAACCTTTGATGATAATATCTCATTTTACATCTGTGACTAATATTAGTATGATGCAAAAATTATTTCAAAGAAAGATTAGATTATTTATAAATATGTATATATTTTTATTCGATCCTTTAATGTCAATGCTATGCTTGAAGATGATTAGTATTACAAGCTGAAACTAGGTTTTGCACTTTAAAGAAAATCTCAATGATCAATGTTATGATGATTGCATTTTGTGTAGAGCTATTTTTGTGAAATCTAATCTTTCTTTTCTTTTACAAATTAATCGTCAGTAACAAACAACTTACATTCAATTTTATAAGCGGAGTTGGATAGTGGCTAACAGTGGAATCCATGATTCTAGTTTCATTCTAATTCAGACAACCAATATGCATGAATTATATTCAACCTAATTACTTTTTTAAACGTTGACAACCTCATATTTATATGTTTATATTTTGCATTTTATAAGAGCATATCATAGTTGTGACTTGATTGTTTGAGAATCCGGATCATGCGTTGTTGTTTTTCTTACTCTATGCTGACTAGGATTTACGTAAGTCGTCAATCTTCTCTTTGTTTGAACAATTCTCTCTTAGATTAACTGCTTCTAAGTCTTAGATCATCAATCTGTTTTTGATCATTAGTTGGCTACACTATTTATTGCTAAATTTTCTCCAGAATTTATTTAACTAACATGACATCATTTTACTTGAAATCTCAGTAATTTGTATTTTTACTTATCTCAGCTAAACAGTGTTTTTCTGTAATATGTTTGTAGTTAAATTCTAAGTACTAAGTAACTAATGGTAATAAATTGAGATACTTCATCCCGATGATTTGAAATAATGATAATTCAAATTATATATACTAATGATTGCTGAATTATTGATGTCTTCTATGTTACATTTGAATAAAGTAATCATAATTCGTTTATCAAATATAGATTAATGTACTAGGTTTTGAATTATTTCACTGTTGGTGTAATGACTGATCAAGCCTCAATAGATGATGTGACGGATTTCAAAGTTGCGATCTGATTGCAAGCCGGTTGTTTTATAATCACTAGTCTAACTCTCTATTCTGACAGAGTAGAGCACCATAAGAAGAGTAGTTTTAATGCAAATAAAACGGATTACAAGTTACATAGATAGATGAAGATATTGAGATGATGGAGATTTGTAGCTCAGGTGGATGATTTTCAGATAGAAGTCTATCTGAAGTTTGTGCTGATGATGTCGTTCAGAAGAACGATGAAAGCTCCACGACCAAACCATCCAGCTCAGAGAACAGAACTCCATGAAAAAGATGAAGATATTAACCGTTCTTTGGTCTCATTCCCCTCGTATTTTATCCAATATTTAATAGTAAATGCTCAGGTGTACATTTTCATCGAGCTTATCTTTTTTTTCATGAATGTCTTTTTATTTATACGTACAATTAATTTGTAGTAATTGAGTCTTTGGATAATCGTGCCGCTTCACTCTACACAGAATACATTCCACTCAGAGAACCGTTATGCATCTTAATGAAAATATCCGTAAGTTTTCAGTTAGCGTGCAGCTTTTTTCTCATCTTATCGATAACTACTGGCGATAAAAATGTTTCTCCAGAACTATACTTCATCCAAAATAATTCTGTTTCTAATTATTGTTATTCAGCTTTCTTGTTAAACATTTCCGTCCTTATCTGGGTTTTCGATACTGCGAAATTTATTTATGTTCAGTACGTGCATAGTATCATATATTTTTGGGCATTTTTCCACACACAGTGCTAGAGTGCTGGATATTAAAACATAAGTTTTACTGAAAACCTCCAACTTTCACTTTATTTTCTTTTTCATCTGACAATTTGAAATGAACAACAGTATTGTGTTCATACAAAAAGGCCCCCAAATGCCCTGGTATGGCCGAGAGTGGGGAGAGTCCGCACTCCCTCTCGAAATGCTCTCACATGGCCACGCGTATATAGCCTTTGCCAGGGATGTCCTACTCACTGCCTTCTCGTTCCATTACTGTTGTTTACGAAATCGAGAGGACGAAAAGCGAATGTACGGCGTTTTAACCGGATTCCAAACTGATGGTGCATATGGGCTCCAGTATCCTGCGGGAACAAATGGCGTATGAACCAATCGTTGGTAACCGGCTTCCATGGGACTGCATCTCCTTGCGATGCTCCACTGCCTTGTGGATCAGACCTTCAGGTCGAAGGCTCGGGTTGTGGCCCCTTAAGAAAACCACCTGCTTCGGTTTGGGCAGCCGAGCAGTATCACAGCCCTCATACATATCGAATGAGATTTGTATTTGGTGCCTCATACAAAAAGACATAAGTAATAGATTCAGATGACCGAACTGAAATCTCCAATAAAAATCACATTGTTATGTACAGGACTCACCTACTAAATGAACAGAAAAATGTTCGAAAATGCTAAATATTGTGCTTTTATCGATCGTTGAAAAAGGAGGATTATCTTCACACAAAGTCTCGTGTTTAGGTTTAAGATTAGGAGATAGCTTAGGGCTAAAAGTAATGGTTAAAAATGGGATGGAAATATTCATTGTAGCCATATGGATGAATACTGATACAGTTCTCTGGTCCTAAATATTAAACACATTTAAAGCTTCGAAGTGATGGTCACTTCTCTGGTCTCCATATCTCAATTTTAAGTGTCTCAGTAACCAAATATTGGTGGGTTTTACTAAATTCTTGCATAGGTCTGAAGAAATCACTAGTTATCTGTCGTTATTTTTGAATTTGGCGCAAAATCATCGAGTCTTTCCGGAATCGATTGATTCGTCATTTAATTATATAATAGAACCACACTATATAGACAGTCTTAAAATTAATAAAAAGGTCAATCAGAATGAACTTAGTGATTGTTTAATTGATGAGCAATTTTCAGAATACACTTACGGATAGTCTACTGCTAGAAACCCTACTTTTGATTGGATTTCGTATTTTGGCCCATTTAGATAGTTGTTGATCACTTACAGGACCTCGGACTCTTGAAAGGTAGCATCTCACGTAACTATGGCCAGCTAAAGATATCCAATGAATTTGTGGAGTTCAGAGACGAGATTGTTGTACGACCCGCTATATTATTGGGCAAAGAAGTCTGTTAGAGACGGCGCTTCTTGATAAAAATCATATTAAATTTTTACGTTCCATGTAACTTCTGGAATCGTTTCAGGCTGTCAGCATAGTTTATCTCTGCCAAATTTACTTTTAACTATTCAGCACATAAGTTACTTCGCTGAGTTTTTTGGCTTAAAAATATAGATACGTATATTTATAACTCATCAATCTAACGTATTAATTCCTGTTATGTCTCGCACTGCATAGTTTACTACTGGAACAATACGAATCGATATTCGATCTACCAAGGAGGATGCGGTGCATTCATGTGTTGCACAATTAACAAATCTAGTCAAACAGATCAAATTCGACCTATGACATAATGTATTTATATCACTATATATGTAATAGTGTATCATTCGTTTCTTCTTCTTTCTCTTCTATTGGTTTTTCTTAAACTTATCCTACAATCTGTTTTTCGATTGTTAATATTCCTTTGTTGTGATTTGAGTTTTTTTAATTTCACGACTACTCTGTGTTGATGTTGTTTGTCTTATTTTGATATACAATATTACTTGTGACGATGATAACTTATTACACGAACATATATGTATCGTTATTCCTATTTTGATTGTCCTTTTATATACATATATATTTATGATTTGCCTATCAACGATTCCTAGCTAACTGTGATCTAATGCCTTTACCATGTATTTTTGATTGTATTCATGTAGTTTTGTTGTTTCGATTATCCTATATATGCATACGTATGGTGTCTTTCAGATATTAAAATGTGTATATTTTATTGCGTCTTTGATATTTGAACCAATATAAGGGTGATTTTTTTGTTCACACGTATATTATTATTAATATTGTCGCTATTCATGATTTCCATTGGTTTGTCTTGTTTTCTATTTAGGTAATTTTTTAGTCTTCTGTGATTGATACTCATCAATATGAAAGTTGCGATACTCTCTTTTCTATCTCTCCCCTCTTCATTGTCTGTATTCTTTTATTTCGCCGTTTCGCATACAAATTCCCTTTTCATTTCTTTAATTTATTCCTATTGATGATTTGTCTAGTGTTTATTTTCTACGTGTTTACATTTCTCTTCGGGTAACTAGTGTGTGTGTGTATGTATGTATGTATGTATGTATAGATTAACACTTTATCTTAGTACGTTACAGTTATCTGGATGAAATAATTCAACTGTGTGTAGAATGTTTAATTTTTTTTAAAGAAGAATTGGAAACTATTAAGCATCTGATTACTCCATGTAATATTAATAAGAGTTCTTTTTTATTAATTCAATATTATAAACTATTCATCATTTTTGTGCCTAAATCTAACATAATAATTGAAAGAGAACAAATCAACAATCTTGAATAAAATCTATTGCGATAAATTATGTAAGAATTTCGAAATATGAGTATATGTGATATCATAAGTTATACACTCAACTTATGATATATCTGTAACTTTGCCACTAAGTGCCGTATAGCACAAAACCTCTACGTCCATGGTATTCTGTCGACTGCCACCAATCACCTAACAATTATTTTTATAGTTGAGATCATGAATCAGTTAATCTCAACTATTAAATTACTATAATATTCACAAAAAACCCTTTCTAAATTATTTTTATGCATCAAAATATGCACCAATCAATTATTTTACACCTTAATACTTATTTAACATAATAGTTTATGAATTGTTTCAGTCTCTTATCATAACCTTCAACCATCTTACATCTTAATATACTGCGCGCAATGTCCAGTCAGTCAAACTAGTGACCGCATTGCAACTTGCCTAATCGAATCCAATCAGCACCAAAAGATTAGATGAACATGATATTGGTCGCCACTTAAAGATTAGCTCAGCAATCCGCTTTGCGATAAATCCTTACCAAGTTGGTTTTCATTTCAAGTTGATGATAACCAAAAGAAAAATAGTCCATTTAGAGGCACATGCATCTATTCTAAAATAGAGAATATAAATTTACGACTGTTAGTAAATAAAATAAGTCCGTTGATCGGCGTTTATAAATGCTACTACTAATTAGTAAGATATCATGTATGGCTGGTCTCAAATCAGAACGCCAATAAGAAAATATATGAAAATCGGAACAACAAGAGAAAATAGAGTACAAGTATTAGCGCTTATATAAAATCTATACAGGAATTTGATGTTACTTCAATCTTTCTACTAGCGCTGTAGATGGATCATGATGTTTAGAATTGATCTTGGCTCAAGCATCCAATAATCAAAACTGTCACATGATGAAATACGATCATATCTCAATGCTTAGAAATTGGACAATAGAAAACTTTGACACAGTACAACAAATGAAATAAATCTGAAGAATACCATCCTTCACTGCAATTTCTACTGAGATTTGACAATAGTAAGGAATATAACAGTTCTTACAAAAAGTAATAACCAAACCAAACTGTCTCCAATAAAATATCTGAGAATAAGTGCGAAACCCTGTATCTATATAGGAAGTTTTCTTTATTTTGAGAATAGCTCAAATCAATTTAGTTTTGAAATGGTTCGCAACGGCTCATTAGCTAAAATCAGTCAGTTCATTTTAGATGCAAACTCAAAATCATGTGTATCAACCAAGTAAAATAAAATTAAATACATCTTTGGTTATATTCAATCACTCACGCAATTTCTCGAACTCATTTAAGGACAACTGAATTATGACTCAGCGACCTAAACGTACCATCTCCAGACCTAGATATATTTGATTTGGCGGTGAGTGTCATTTGCTGAGACGTCAAAACAGCCATCTGGGTCCGAGATTAGCTGCCACGTTTTCAACTGAGCGTTTCGTAACTGGGGATTTCGTTTATTTCCCCGCCTTGCGAATCGTAAAAAAATGCCACGGACTTTAACTACATTTGTGTTCCTCATCTGGGATGTCGAGCTGTGGTAAAGTAGACATGCTCATAGCAAGTATTTCTGGACAGCTCCAATAGCTTGGAATGAAATTCGCAGAAAGTATCCAGCACTCACCTACCAAGAGACGGGAAAATAACTAAACGTTTTGAGTGTGACACACCCAATGAACATTGCTGATAACCTTAGTCCTGTCCAGTTAATGCTTACTATGATTCCCTAGTTGACAGGCCACAATAAAAACTGCTCCTAAATAGTTACGTGTATTCTTATTGTATGACCATCAAGTAGCTAGACTATATAATTCACTTTGTATTGTTTGTTTAAATCTTCCCATTGATGTTTAGGACTGCAATTGACCAATCTCTTATTGGCATATTTGCGGATTGCCTTAAGTCACAAGCAATGATGGGTGATATCTAGCAGTGGAATCTTGGAAGCACGTTTCGTCCTACTTGAAACTCGTCAGTCGGACGCACCTTCACCCCGGGACTCGAACCCGGCACCGGCCGCTTCAAACACCATCGCGCCACCTACTTAGCTACTGAATCCCGAAAGCCACCAGCTTGTGCAATGGGGTGAAGTGTAAATTCACTTTGTAATGTTCGTCTGAATTTTCCCATTGATGTTTAGGACTACATAGTATTTATATTTCTCTTACTATACATCCCAATTTGACCTTCAGACTACTGTTATACGATTTATTATTCGTAAGTTATGGCGAGAACCAGTGAGGACTCTAGGCTGCTCGTGCCGGTTAACGCGTCACAAGGTCATGTAAGTCGGTCTTTCAATTGGCGACTTAGCCACGTGATATTTGATGGGGCTGAGGACATAACAATGTAGTTATAAATTGTTTTATTCATATACATCTGAATAGGCATTTATAATCATATTTGGCATATGGCCAAAACTTTGTGGGTTTGCTACGTTTACCACTCATTGTTTGTAATCACTTCTCGGTTGTAAATCCTCCACTTATGTCGCCGGTACCTTTCCCTATTAAAACCCGGTCTCCCTTTGACACCTACACCATTATACGGCTACTATTCAACTAACGTGAATAAAGCAAAACGCCTGTATTCGCTTACCCAGTACGGTTCTTGTCCAAGAACTGTTTTCTTTTAAAATAAGTATAATTTGATCCGATTGGCACTGCTCGGTAGAGAAATAGGTCTAGAATTTTGAGCAGTCTGCCGTGTAGTTATACGCTTGAAAAAAAATAACGACACCAACTTTCCCGTTTCATTTACCTTTAAGATATTCAGTGTTTATTTAAAGCAAAACAACTTACAAGTTCCACCCATTTTCCAATATCCCAACAGTCGACAGTTCATAATACAAATTAAATACACACAGAATAGCTATTTGAGGAAAGTACTGATGGCTTGCGTGAATCCATCACCAAGGTAATCACCGGTATTTCAAGATATCAACTAGACACTGTTCCACAGTACATCTAGGTTTCAGATTTATACCACTAACGGGGGCTAAACCATTCGCTTTTACAGTATCATGAACACCAAACTAACCATCCAGACAATTAATAACATGATTCGTCATTGAACAGGTTACCTTTCCTCTAATTGTTGACCTGGTATGTAGTATTGTACCACACTTAGGTCCGTGCACAACCGCCTAGCCGTATTGTCTAATTCTAACATGTTGCCTATGCATTATTTTCGTCTACACTATCGGCTGTTAATTTATAAACCCGTCATCTGATGTACATTAACCGAACACATACAGTTGTCTTCAAGGATGACAAAGCTGTTAATCTGAGTACAAAGAAAGATTTTAAACGAGCAGAAACAGTAGACTCAAATTCTGAAGTTAATTCATTCAAATTATAAGTGAGATCATTAATAAGGTGAATTAATGTTGTTAAAACATCCACATCCAAATGCATTAAGGTATCAGCAAGTATTCAAATGTTCCTAAAGGACTTCCATAAGACCTTACAGAATGACATCATCTGGATGGTTTCATCCGGTGGCACAACGCGTAGCGAATGCACGAATAATTCGTAATTCAAACTAGTACAGAAAACATTTCTTAGTGTTATAATAAATTCGAGAGAAAAACAATTGGGGTACTTTACAATCTCATGTATTAACGAGAACCTGTGAGAGAATAACCATACTGAAAAACACGAAGGCAAATGAACTAAAAAATTCAAAACCGGAAAGCAGACAAATTGTAAGTCATCAGACTGTTTGGCTCCTAAGTGTATTTGAGAACAGATATTGAGGGCTGTGACAAGTATATATGGTAAACCAATGTGTGAAGGTATCTGTAGTATTTGTGTCGTCTATGTGAGAGGATAATTCAATGATTTGTATTAACTTGTTCTACGTGGATTAACTGCTCCAGAACCTCTCCCACCCATAGATCCATTTCCCAATCCACCACGTCCACCTCGGCCACCACCACGAGAAGACCCACCAAAGCCTGAACCTCTAGGTGCATTTCCT